TTAGGGATCATGTTACCCATTATATTAGGGATCATGCTACCCTTTATATCCGGGATCATGTTACCCGTTATATTAGGGATCATGTTACCCGTTACATTAGGGATCATGTTACCCGTTACATTAGGGATCATGTTACCCGTTACATAAGGGATCATGTTACCCGTTACATTAGGGATCATGTTACCCGTTACATCAGGGATCATGTTAACCGTTACATTAGGGATCATGTTATCCGGTACATTAGGGATCATGTTACCCGATACATAAGGGATCATGTTACCCGTTACATTAGGGATAATGTTACCTGTTACATTAGGGATCATGTTACCCCTTATATTAGGGATCACCTTACCCGTTACATAAGGAATCATGTTACCCTTTACATAAGGGATCATGTTGCCCTATATATTAGGGATCAAGTAACCCGTTATATTAGGGATCGTGTTACCCGTTACATTAGGGATGATGTTACCCGTTACATTAGGGATCATGTTACCCGTTACATTAGGGATCATGTTACCTGTTATATTAGGGATCATGTTACCCGATACATAAGGGATCATGTTACCCGTTACATAAGTGATCATGTTACCCGTTTCATTAGGGATCATGTTACCCGTTACATTAGGGATCATGTTACCCGTTACATTAGGGATCATGTTACCCGTTATGATAGGGATCATGTTACCCGTTACATAAGGGATCATGTTACCCGTTACATTATGGATCATGTTGCCCGTTATGATAGGGATCATGTTACCTGTTATATTAGGGATCATGTTACCCGTTATATTAGGGATCATGTTACCCGTTACATTAGGGATCATGTTACCCGTTACATTAGGGATCATGTTACCCGTTACATTAGGGATCATGTTGCCCGTTATGATAGGGATCATGTTACCTGTTATATTAGGGATCATGTTACCCGTTATATTAGGGATCATGTTACCCGTTTCATTAGGGATCATGTTACCCGTTATGATAGGGATCATGTTACCCGTTACATTAGGGATCATGTTACCCGTTATGATAGGGATCATGTTACCCGTTACATAAGGGATCATGTTACCCGTTATGATAGGGATCATGTTACCCGTTATGATAGGGATCATGTTACCCGTTACATTAGGGATCATGTTACCCGTTATGATAGGGATCATGTTACCCGTTTCATTAGGGATCATGTTACCCGTTACATTAGGGATCATGTTACCCGTTACATTAGGGATTATGTTACCCGTTTTGTTAGGGATCATGTTACCCGTTATATTAGGGATCATAAATGTGCCATACATAAATGTGCCATGTAAGTAGTCAGAAACATTCTGAATATCTGCGTATTGTTATTTGTTTTCATGTTGTTTATTGCAACCGAGAGAAATAGTCTGAAATGCCGATAAAATGTTGTCGTCGTGAGAGATTTTGCGTCAATCATGCCGTCACAAAGGACGGAAACTTTGACAATTTCTATTGAATTTACCAAATCATGGTAATGTATCTATTTTTCTAATTCCCTAATTCTTGCTACGATACTCTTCCCATGCTTATTCTAAAACTATAGAGCCATTGTATTGCTCAAAATGGGAGGAAATGCCACACAATATATTATCTAAGTTTTGCTTTGTTTACATTTCAAACAAGTGCAGTTTTCCGAGAACAGCGTTCGTTTTCACACCTAATATATTTCGCTTGAGGTCTTTTGACAATTTGTATTGGTGACAAAGACCATTCATCATTTGATTCTAAATGTTTGAGTAATTCAGGGATGTAATAGGCGTCTCATAACCGGCATACGTGAACGTGATTTTGTAAACATTGACCAATATGGCGGAAAGTTACTTCGGTGTTCTTGTTTGCGTATTTTCCTAAACATTCTAAACGATTGTAAGGATGTCGTGGACGCTTCACAATGATCATTGGTGATTTGATTAAAAAAACACATATACCCGAGATCTTGATATGCTATTTTTGAAATTGAATTCTCCAAGTAATTATCCAATATTTTGATTTCAAAACATACATAAATAACGCTGTGAATGGTGATTTAGAAATGTGTCACACATGGTGAGATTTACGATGTTCCTAATTTTCACAGGTCAATTTTAGTAATTTACCTTTGCCTAAAATGATATCAGAGAACAGTAAAACTCCCACGGAATTGAAAACCTTGAAGGGTATTGGTGTGCGTCATGTATTTTGAATTGTATTCGACTTCAAAGTGAGGGTTGAAGAGGAGGGTCATGTTTGTCCCTGTGGCATCCTGGAGGTAATGCGAATATGTAAATAAATGTTTAATAAAATCTTGAGTGAAAAACAAACGTTAACTTATTGTCCGACATTGTCCATCCTCACGATCGTGGTACACATGGGGATCGGGGGGACAAGAGAATTGTTCCACTTGGGGATTCAACATGAAAGGTAGTCAATGAGAAGCAATAGTCATGGGATCTTTGAAAAGGCCTTTGCCTTTGTATATAGGCAGTTCATGCTAAATGTGCTTAAGTTTTTTAACTTTGGGGCAAGTATACAGAAATGGATATCCTTATTTTTTAATGATATGGAATCTAGTATTCCTGTAAACGGATTTGCTAGCTCCTTTTGTCATGTTACTGTCGGCAGGGAATCCTGTGTCACCATACATATTTATCATTAGTGCTGAAATTACTGGTACGAAAAAAACAATTGAAGGAATTAACATGGTAATTTTGAGCACGGGCTGGCCCGATTTGGTACCACACCAACACCAGATGGCTCAGAAAAATGCTTATATGCAGCTATGAGTATCCTTAAATTCTTTGAAATGTTTTCTGGACTTAGGGTCAACACAGAAAAAAACGAAAATGATATGGATAGCGTAAAGAAGGTCACGATAAAATCTGTGGACTGAATGGCACTTCGACTGGTCACAGACAATATTTAAATTATTAGGAATAGATTTTGATGTAGATTAAGAAAAAATAGTAGAACTTAATTATCGAGAAAAACTTGAAATAAATAGAAAAGGAAATGACTTTGTGGCCCATTAGAACTTTGACACCAATGGAACAGAACGTAATCCTGCTAAATCATACCAAGTCGACCAGATGAAACATTTCAGATAATTCAGAAATGATGATTTAAATTTGTTTGTAGGGGAAAACCTGATAAGGTGAAAAGAAATACTCTGTCATATCGTTCTGAATGTGGAGGTATAAGTGTACATGTAGTAAAATATGCTACTGCACCACAGAAACACCAATGGGTCAGGAGGCTATTCAATAAAAATTCAAAGTGGCTTAAACATGCATCATTATATATTCCAAATTCACAGAGAGAATATTTCTCAGATTCAGTCTACTTTACAAAGTATATGGCTCTATATGTCACAAATTTATTCTGGAAGTATGTCTTAATAGTTTAAACTTACACAAATGTTACAGAACGATAACTGATTTGTCAGAGCTAATGTGCCAGTCTTTATGGTATAACATTAATATTATGATAGCAGATAAACCAATATTTTATACTGAGCGGTGTAAGAAATGTTTCGAGTTCATCAATTACATTCTAAATGAAAATGGAGAAATATATATGGCATTAAAAAACATTTTCTAGCATTTCATGGTACTATTCAAAGAGCAATTTTGAAATGCATAAAAAAATAACTGTAAAATATCAAGGCAGAATGATGGAGTGCCCATTTACACTTTTCAATATACGATTGCTTAATAATAATCAAAAACGAAATACATTTTTCTTCCAAACTTTGCTGGACCCGAGTGTTTCTAAAACAGGTAGCCCAGAAAAGTGTGGAAAGTGTCTTTCACAAATAGAATGAAAATGCAGATCAAGAAACTGTTGACATAATGGCTTACAAAACTGCACTTAAACCGTTAATGAGTTATGATTACCATTCTACATTATACTTATTCTGTTCAGTTATGTCTGAAACAAGTGTACATCTACTATGTGAATGTGTTCATGTTCCCAACATCTGGAAAGACATGACCGATTGGGTTCGTAATTTTTCAAAGGGAACAATACTGTTTTCAAATGAAAACACTAAATTTGGATTCAAAGGCACAAATAATAATCTCATAATCACTAAAAAAGCAATTTGCACAAAGAGAAATTCTAAAATATTATGAAACAAAGTATTCTGCCTTTGCAAACTCTAGCCAGGCACATGTCTTTGCCTTTTGATCATCGTTGCATACAGTATGCACAAATACTGTTCGAAACGACACAACGTTGAAGAGAATGTTGAAAATATCCTACTATCACAAGGTTGATATGTGACATCTTTATTTACAGTAAACCTAAAATAGGTCATCATGTTATCGATGTAGATACATCTGTAACATTTTATCAATGTTATCAATTAACACAAATTGAGTGAGTGAGTTGGGTTTTTAACGCCGCTTTTAACAGTATTCCAGTTATATCATTAATATGTATTAATGTGGGAGGAAAGTCCGAAGTGATGCAGGTCTGAGACGTTTACCACTTTTCGGTGAAACCCACGAAGCACGGGTATGGTGCTGATAAACCTAGAAACATAAACGGGTAGAACCGGGATTCGAACCCACAATCATAGGTTTCCGGCGTGCCCAAGGGACGCAACTCTGCACAGCGAATCGCGGCGCCTTAGACGACTGGGCCACCCTGCCACCCTGCCCCCTGCCTCCTGAACAAGTTATGAACCTGAAAGCTGTTAGTGACATTTTATTTTATTTGCACTTGTATTATCTTTATGCATGTACAATGTTAAACTGACTTGTTGAAATTATCTGGTGTATTAAAATGTTACCAAAATAAAATCTGCTGAGTATGAATATTCGTATGCATATATAACCTGTCGATGTACATCTCAGCATGTAAAATACGGGGTGGGGGTGGGGGGGTGGGGTGGGGTGGGGGGTGGGTGGGGGGTGGGGGGGGGGGGGGCGCATGACATGAGAAGGGGAAAATACTATCACACATTGATAGTTGCAAATGCTATGGCTAGCCATTCTTACCTTGTACAATGAAGGTCACTATCCATACCAGGTAGAGACTGGCTATCTTCATTTTAAAAGTGACCTGTAAAATATAAATGGAAGGAACATAAGAGCACAGGATAACTGATCTGAGAATTGATGATGCCAATGATATGCTCTTAAAAGCATTTAAGATTGTAATTCCCGTCGAAATTTCTTATTCATTGTTACTCGTCTTGCAAACATTCATACAATATATAGATATACAACTTCAAAAGGTTGGTGCAGACAGGCGTAGAAGCGGGAGACCACGGGTGACTACGCTCATTGAAGAACGCCAGATCCGGACCATTCATCCCCCAAAAAGGATAATTACAGCGACGGTAACGGCAGCGACCGCACTTGGACACAGGGTAATTCGATTAGCAGCGTATAGGACGTGGTATCAGAGCACGTCGATCCAACCGCGGAGTGATTTTAACACGTCAACACCGACGTCACAGGCTGACATGCTTGTCGGCAGCGAGTATACAGACGAGTAGGTGATCGTTTAGCGCCAAATTGTGTTAAACAAGTTCAACCATTTAAAGACGGTAGCGTCATGGTCTATGGAGGTATCCGTGATGTGTAAACGAGGCTCGTTATTATTCTTCGAAACCTGAATGACCAGAGATATCGTGATTACGTTTGGAGATCGTTGTGCACCCATTCATTCAGCAACAGCCACGTGGCATTGTGTTCAACAAAACAACGCGAGACCACATACGGCAAGGCTCACGCAGAACTTTCTGAACGAAGCGAACGTTCACGTTTTACCCTGGCCGACATTTTCTCCTGATATGAACCCCATCGAATATATATGGGATCACCTTGACCGACAGATCAGAAGACCAGCGGCACTCGTCAACTTTCAAGAACTGGAACAATGTCTCCTTGAGGAATTACCCCCAACGTCGTCCGACGTTTGACGTTGTCAGTGCTTCGTCGTGTCCAGGCAATGTACAAGATGGACGTAGTCGGTATTAAGTTGGTTTAGAATGTGCTTTAGAGTCATCTTGAACAAGTGTTGTGACAGTGATATTGTGAAACTTGTAATTTTTTACACCAATGTGCCTTTGTGTCTCAGTCAGTCGTAAAGATTTTGTTTGGATAATCCCACATAAATCGGTTTTGCACATCATGTTAAGTACAACTCTTATATATATACTGACTTTCTACATGCTTTTGTTTTTCTTTCATAGTGTTTCAGACTCTTGGTATACTATCTTTTGGACCTTAGTTAATATTGCTCCTGTGATTAAGGGAGTATTAAGTAACATTCAAGACGAATATTATGTTGTGCAAGAATTGAGGTCAGTAAATATTCATTCGCTACGTATCTATAACACGTCATTTCACATTTTATTGGCAACACATAGGTTTATTTCATATGCTGTAGCACAATATGTTATCGTGAACCTGAACATAATTTTCCTTGGAAGAGCTAATGCAGGCTACTCTCAGTTCAAAGTGACAATTCAAGAATCTGAACTGTCAGGTCGCATTCTCGTCTTGAACACGTGTAATACACATATATTTTCACATGTTCATCTATTTATTCCTTTACCACTTCTCGTAACATTGACCAATGACCTCATGGACAGTGCCCCCATATCACTAGGACCAGTTGGGGAGAAGTCCATGGAAGAATTACCTTTGCGTGTAGACATAAGTAAAAGTACCGGCAGTGGCGATCAAACTGACAAAACCTTAAAGAAGTCCCCGACCCAACTAAAATGACAAGTAATCTGGCTAATCACGTAGTTTCCTTATCGAGATTCGACTGTTGATCATCTCCATGAATTAATGGACCGGCGTCCTTTCATTGAATACAATGTAAAAGTTGGTAAACTTTAGTTTTGTTATTATTTGTTTAATTTTATTAATCAGTTAATTTTGCCTTTATTGAAGAGTGGTAATGAAATAATTGAACCAATTTTCAACAAGATACTCACTCGTACTTGCAATGATGTCGTACTCGCCAGTAACCGTTTCAGTATGATTCCTATTCGCTGACATTATCACTCTGAAACATTCTCTCTGCCGCGTTGAATCTTTAAGCAGCTGCAATCAATACATTATATATTAGTGTTTACACAAATGAACTCCTGCTTGAACAGCCACGATGGTCGATACCTGTTTCCTTCTTGTTCGTCGTGACAAAACTTTTCACAATGGCGCTTCTGAGAGTTATTAAGCAGTTTAGAATCAATAGCTGAAAACGGAGACATGACATTAACGTTAATCAGATACACAAGCACAATGTATTTGAGACATAGCAACTTGATTAACGACGTTAGTTTTTAGAGGGTAGCGAGTTGTTCCACGTAGTAGATATACGCAATGGCCGAACGTTCGCACCCAAAAGTAGGATAGATATGACAATCGGTATTAGGAGAAAAGGTACAGATAATCGACGTGAAACGTGAGAATATCCGGGGAATATCAAACCACTCATGTATTCTCGACCCGAAAGTATTGTAGAGAAGAATACACGTCTTCGATTGTTCCTAAATCGGGTGGCTATAAAGTTCTGAGCTTAAATACGAAGGATGTGTAATACCAGGTAGCGTTTCTACGGGCATCATAGTGACTAGGTATTCTCTATTGATGAAAATAGACAAATTGGTTACCATGCTGTCATCAGGTATCGCCAACTGAAAGGGCTAACTCCAACAGCCAACCATGCGGACATGGTATCAACTTTAGGGGAAGATACTAATTCCTTTGTCACTGCTGAGATGTGGGCAGCAGAGTCTAAAGATGATCCAAGATATAGATGATAAAATACATGATATGATAATAGATGATTGGACTGCTCGCCACAAGTCACATAGCCAATACAGTAGGCATCTCACAAGAGGGAGTCGAGAACAATCTGAGGTATGACCTGGGTACTACAAAGATTCCAGCACGCTGGGTTCCGAGGATCCTGACTCCTGATCAGACGCACTCCAGTTCATCATTTCTCGGGAGAAGTTACATCGCGAACTGTGGTGGCTTAGTCGCCTAGGATACTCGTGATACCTAGATCAGTGAGTGAACAGGGGCGACAAATCAAACGACTATAAGTAACGGATTACATGTCGCGTGTGTGTGTGTGTGTGTGTGGGGGGGGGGGGGGGGGGGATTACATGTCGTGGGGGGGGGGGGGGGGGGGGGGGGGGGCTGTGTTTAGAAAACGCATTCACGATGGACAAACACTCCGTAATTTTCATTCTAGGTCATACTCATATTGCTTTCAGGCCGCCGTCATACAGCTTCATTATAGCTTAGTTCGGCGTTATACAGCAAACAAATAAACTAATACCCTCCAAGAAGCCGTAGTAATTTCTATAATCTCAAAGCTGAGTGAGCTGGTTAAAATGAAAGTCTCATCGAAAATATCTCGGCCATTCAGCGACAAGAACAAGTTTAACATTCATGGCGAATAATCCCACAGTGAAAAAAAAGGAACATAACTGTGACAGATCCAGATTAAAACAACTGGATAACATATAACAACAAGTTAAACGTTAAACAAAGATGAACTATACTTTACTCAAGTAGTTTATATACATATTCGCAATGTATTAAACTGACCAAAGTTCTCATCGTAAAATCAACTGCTCGCTCACACGTGAAAATAGATTTTTCAGATATTCTGCTTTATAACGAGGATTGCAAAGTCAACAAAACCTGAGAATCCAAGATCTAAATATTTATTTGTTTAAGAAGGCTAAAGTCCTACAAGACAAGCTACATTATTGTTTATTTGATGCCCGGGGGTAAAAGGTGCCATCATGTATTATTGCGTTCTGAGTCTGCACACAAGCATCTTCCCGAGGCAAGAGAGTTAACTGACTTTAAAATGTGAACTTTCATTTTGCAATTTGGTTTTATTTCTGTCACAGGTTTTCTCGTGGGAGTGACATCAATCACTTCTGTGTGCTTGCAATCAGGTCATTAAACTTTGGATCCAGAGGATTGAAGAAATATTTTTGGGAGATGAAAGCATTATGCCATGTTTGGATGATTGTATCCATGTTGAAGTATTCAGAAACTGGAGCCAGGTTGTGTATAATTATCTAAATTATCTTATATCAATTTAAACGATTGTTTGATTGATTTTTTTATTGTAATTATTTGTAGAAATTCATATGATGTTCAGTGCTAGACTGACACGATGTATTGCACTAAATCTCTGTCTGTTTTAGACGGTGGCTGTCTCACAGCCTGTGCTGTCGAATGAAGACCTCTGGATGTATGGGGCATCGGCTATGTGTCCATTGTTCTTTATCTGTGTTACCCAGTGGACGTTCTTAAGAACCTTTGGTCTCGCCTGACTGTACATCGTGGAGATGAACTCCACAACACAAAACATGTATTCAAGGCAGCACTTTGCCTTCCCTCCAACGCAGATTATTGTGAAAGGGCTTCTCACAGGAGAATTAGATTCTAACGAAGTTAAGAAAGCGCTTCCCACCTGAAGTCCCTGGCAATCTACGCTGCATTCTTCTGCATGACAAAGACTTGATAAACCATTAGTTGCTTGTTCGACCAAGGTACAACACCCACGCCTCGGTAAATCTTTCAAAATAATCTATGGTAGACATGTTAATGACAAAACCAAATTTGACCAAAATGGTATCGGAAGCAACTCCATATTTTGACGTGTACCGTATGTCTCCGTGTTTGTTTTAGTTAAACATTTAACTTGCCTTTGCATGTGTTTGCGACGGATAACTGGTGTGGCAGAATACGCTCACCTTTTCGTTAACAACTGGAATCATCACCATTTGGTAGTGATTCATCATGAACACATTCTTTTAGAAGATATTTTCTTATGGTTTTGGAAAAGCAATTGTCGCTGTTATTATTTAACAAGAGAGCGAATGCGAGTTTTCTTAAAGCCTCGTTAGGGACTTTGCAGTTAGTCGCTGCCAAAACATGGTAGTTGAAAAATATGAGGGAATACATGGACTAACAAAACTAACATTCTTATATTAAATACCCAGACAGTATTATTGCAACAACCTTGACAGTACATTTGTTCACGCAGTCAATTACCATCAGCTCGTATAGTTGTTTTTGTTCTATTAAATATCTCAGAAAATAGACATCACACAAAGGTTATACACAGATACAAATCCCAAAATAACCTAATAAAGCTAAAATTGATACACCGATTCAAATCCAATAAATAACCTTATAAAGCTAAAATTGTCACAATATACTCTGGTATGAATTATTAATGTCGTTTTCACGCTAAAAAGGACTTAGTTATCGACTCGTCGCTGTCGCGAAAGTAAAAACAAATATCGACCTTTTTATTGGGTGTTGTATATAAATACTACAACGATTTTGGTTCGGATCCCTTTCGGTGTATGTTAGAAGTTCGACTTAGTTTCAAGTATTAATTAAAGAGGCGAGAAGCTTGCCTAAATCATGCTACATGTCCTCGGGTGAAATCACATTTTTTTTCACTTTCCAGGGAGGAAATGTTAGTTTCTACGTACCTACTTCCGGTTCGGCATGGTCAGCGCTTACCCCTGTGAATGTGTGACATCACGATGGTGAACCATGGAGCATAAACTAACAACTAACAAATATCTGTGATATTTGTAAGTTATGATACCACACCAGGCGGCTATTGATCGTACATTAATCACATCTATTTATATAAAACGCTTGTAAAATCAATATAAAGTTACTACTATTCATCGTGGGCATGCCAGAAGCTACTAGTTTATATTCATATTCATATAAGTAGGACCCGTGAAGATCCGGGGTAGAATAGGTCTTCAGCAACCCATGCTTAACGTAAGAGGCGACTATGCTTGTCGTAAAAGGCGACTAACGGGAACGGATGGTCAGGCTCGCTGACTTGGTTGATGCATGTCATCGATCCCAATTGCGTGGATCGATGCTCATGATATTAATCACTGGATTGTCTGGTCCAGACTCGATTATTTACAGACCGCCGTCATATAGCTGGAATATTGCTGAGTGCGGCGTTAAACAACAAACCAACAAACAAAAATCATATAAGTACGAACTGATTTTTATGTTTGTAAGATGAAATTGAAATAAGGTCAAAAGATGTTGCGGACATTAGTGTTTCAACCAATCATATAATAGGTCCGGCTCAGACATCTAGCATCTTGGTATCCTTGTTAACTCAAACAATGAAATTGGTCCGTTATTGCCCCAAGAAACGCTCTCATGACTCAGCATGTCAGCGAATCAAATATTAGTCAAATATTAGCGAGTCAAAATATCAAAATATTTGATTTCAGACATTTCACTCAGTCACAATAGCCTTTTCGTCTTACAAACTTGACCTCAAAATAATACCTATTGTTTTAACAGGTCCGAATCATATTTAATGATCTTTCAACCTTTCCCCTTGTCTTCTGCACACTTTACTGTAGCATGGTGCAGTAGCATGTGGATGAGGCGACGTAGTTTATTTGTTAGTTGTTTAACCCCTTCGACCTGTGAAGATTCCGGGGTAGAATAGGTCTTCAGCAACCCATGCTTGCCGTAACAGGTGACTATGCTTGTCGTAAAAGGCGACTAACGGGATCGGGTGGTCAGATTCGCTGACTTGGTTGATACATGTCATCGTATCCCAATTGCGTGGATCGATGCTCATGATATCAATCACTGGATTGTCTGGTCCAGACTCGATTATTTACAGACCGCCGTCATATAGCTGGAATATTGCTGAGTGCGGCGTTAAACAACAAACCAACCAACCAACCAACTAACGCCGCACTCAATATTACAGCTATATGAGTTGGTTGACGCACGTCATCGTATCCCAATTGCGTTGATCGATGCTCATGATGTCAATCACTGGATTGTCTGGTCCAGACTCGATTTTTTTAGACCGCCAGCATATAGCTGGAATATTGCTGAGTGCGCCGTTAACAACAAAGCAAACCAAACCAAAAAGATAATATAGTCTAAATAATTTAAAGAAACATTCGTAAAATATCACGGTTGGACATCAGGCTTGTCGTATTTGAATACTGTAAAAATCTAATGTCCTT